TCAGAACGAGCCTACCCCGAGCCTATTCAGGGAGGGCGCTCTGATCTCCGTGAAATGCCCACCGGCGTGGCAGGAGATCTGCTCCTCGTGGTGTGCAGGTGCATTGTAGGCTCCCTGACCTCAGCGGGCAGCTCGTCCTGCACTGGGTCCCCGGGAGCGCCCGAGACAGGAAGTGCAAGCTGTGTATTTGGGCGGTGACCCCCGGAAGCAGGAGGAGAGCAGTGTGGCAGCCCGGGCTGTCCATGACACAGTGGCCACCCCCTGCCTTGCCCAGACTGAAGGGTTTCCTGGAACGTGGCACTTTCGGCACTAAACCACAGCCCGTCTGAGACAGATCAGGACAGTTGGTGACCCTGTTCCCCCGATGCTCCACACAGAGGCAACAGGCCCATCTGCGGGCTCTGGAGGGATGTGCAGAGCTGGCCGCAGAGCCGTCCCCACAGTGTGCACAGCACTGTCCCTGGGCTGACGCAGAGAGCTGCTCTTGGGGCCTCACATGAACCCTCCTGTGCGTCTGTCCTCCAAGGGCCTTCGGAGAGGGCACCTCTGGCCAGAGAAGGCCCCCTGGCATGAGCAGACTTGAGAAACGTCGCAAGGACGTGGGGCCATCAGCCATGCCTGCTGCACCTGGCTTCCGTCAGACCAGACAGCGAAACAAGCTGGGAGGTCGCTGTCATGGGACTAGCCTGCAGCCCTCTCCGAACTTGCTTGGGCCACCTACAAACTATCCTGTGAGGTCGACTTATAAAATCTTTCATTTTAGTCTCTCCAACATCCAGATAATTCTTTCCATTTTACAAATAATTACAGTTAATAAGCACCTTGGTGACCGACGTATGCATTTCCCAAAGCTACTCTGTGCCAGACACTCTGGTCTCCTACCAGCAGAACCCTTGCATTATTGGGGATGGCAGTGTGCCCAGCTGCAGGATGACAGTTCTAGCCTTCTGTGAAACAGGAGTGAGAGAGGAACCATCAGTGAAGCTTCTAGGAATACTCTTACGCACTATTCTCTTTCTCCTTTCTCCTGCCTGCTCCCTGGAGTTAGGTATGATGGCTGGATCTGAAGCAGCCAGGGTGCATCATGAGGTGACAATGCCTGAGCCTCTGGTGACATGAAGCCCTACCTAGCTATAGGCTACATTGTTCCAGGTCTTTAAACGTGAGGGAGAAACAAACTCGTCTTACTTAAACCACTGTTGTTTGAGGGCTTTGTCATACGTTGCCTAATCTGATCGTAGTTATGGAAAGTGCCATCCTTACCTCCGCTCTACGACAGTGACAGTGACTGATGTGCACCCGCAATACCCCTTACACGCATCGGCGGTGCTGCACTAGGGTACGTGGGTGGTCTCTGCTCCTGTTCCCTGGCTCTCAGCTCCTCAAACCCTTGGGCTCTCCAGGGTGATGATGAATGCTGGGAAGTGACTGGGGCAGGAGGTTCCAGTCTCCCGGATCAGGGCCATCAGGAAGTGCCCCTGCCTTAAACCTGACCACGGCCGGGAGCTGGGAAACGGCTCATCCACCTTTGTTCTTCACGGCTCTCTGCAGCCCTGCTCTTTCTGTAAAACCCACCTCTCCTGCTCAGCTCCGGAACACCCCATTCCTTTTACCCACATATGCACTTACTGGGTCACAACCCCTAAAATCCCAAATAAAGCTTTTTGTTCCTAACAGGTTCCGAGTCTGAAATGCACTGACAACATCGTTACCCCAGTCTACCGAGGTAGAGGCTCAGAGAGATGGAATGACCCGCTGAGTCGGAAGGTAAGGCAGGCACTGACAGTCTCCTACCCTTCCTGCCCCGGCCCAGGCGCCAAAGGAGCGAGCACCCAGTGGAGGAGACGACCCCTCATGGGACCCCTCATGGGACCCCTCATGGGACCCCTCATGGGACCGTAGGAGCTCTCCTGGGAACGGGCGAAGTTTTCTGACTCCCTGACAGCCGTGGTGCCAGGACTTGTCTTCTCGCAATCTGTTCAGTAGTCATTTAAATGCTCCGGGACTGGTGTCCCCGTCCTGCAGTGTGGTGGCCTGGGGACGAGGCGAGGTCGGGCTCCCAGGGCCCTCTCTGCTCTTCTGTGGGATCCTGGCACTGTCCTCTCACAGTGTTTTTGTTTATTTTTAGCCTCCTTCTCCCCGCTGGGGTTGGGAATGGCTCAGGATTGCTCCGTGAACCTGTCCAGGCTGGAGGAAGGCGCTCTGCAGTCTGAGAACCTCCTGGATCAGGCAGGGTCCCTGACCGTGAATGTGGAAGCGAAAGAGGAAGCGCCCTTCTGCTCACCTCCCTGGTGAGGTCGGCTTCCTGGCTTTGTGCAGACCCTGCGGCCCGCCCTTCCCCTGGGGCACCCGCCAGACAGCCCAGCCTACCTCAGCCCACAGAGCCACCTCGGCCAGCTCCCCCGGAAACAGGGCGTCAGGCTGTTTTCTTCTCTCTTTGAAGCATTCTGGCTGCCCCCCGGGGGGCTCCCCAGAGGCAGCCTCCTTAAGCAGCACTTCCCAGTCACAGGGCCCAGCTGGGGGCGCTGCAGGTGGCTAGGAGTCCTCCCCAGCAGCAGGAAGCCAAGAGTCCAGCCCCAGCCCTATCCCCTGGTCCAAGAACTTGTGTTTAAACAGAAGCGTTCTTTGTTTCCAAGGAAATCTTCGGCCAGTCCAGGTGGGGACGGGGCAGAGAGCCAGAGCTCGACCCCCTGCCTCCAACTGCCACAGGCCCTGGGATCTGCAGAGGTCCTGAGCCCCAGAGCACAGGCCTGCCTGGTCCGACCATGGGGTGCCCCTCACTGTCTCCTGTAATCGTCATAATAGAACGAGGGTCACGGCAACTGCGTCACCCCTTGGCAGCTGCCGCCACACCTCACAGCTCACCCACACTCAGGTCTGACTCCGTCCCCAGTGCCCTGGGACAGCACTGACCTCCCCCCTGCCCTCCAACTCTGCCCCTACCTAGAGCCCACTTCGTGAGGTTTCACAGAATTCAGTGAGGTGGTGTAGACGGTGCGGGAGGCACTCAGAAGCAACAGACGCAAGGCAGTTGTGAGGACACTGCAGGCGCTCAGTAACGGCCCACTCGGACCGGACTCTTCTCCCTGGGGCTCAGGCTCTGCCTTTGAGCCTGGCTCTGTCTGCAAGGAGCCAGGACCCACCCCAGGGCCTCGGTTTCCCCACCCGTGAGCTGAGGGGCTGAGCTCGAAGCTCTGCGGGCCCTGTGGTGCTGATGCCGCCACCCCGCCGTCAGACCAGGCCAGCCAGGTGCTGCCCAGCCCTGCTGTAGGACTGCGGGCCACCTCGTCCCTCCCGCCCCAGTTCCTTCTTGGTCTGGGAGGGTGGTCACATGTTCTGACACCAGGTGGTCTGTGACCGTCCTGCATCCTGGCCCTGGCCACAGGCAAGGTCACGGGAAGGGGGTGACGATGGAGGAAATGTCGGGAAGTGGACCCTTGAGGTCTCTGAGGCGGTGGCCTCGCTCTCTCTCGGCCCAAACCTGAGGAAGTGGGGAGTGTTGCAAGGGGAAAGCAGAGGCCGGGACAGCATGGGGCTGGCCTTCATCTCCACCCTGGGGGTTCTGTCCCCGGGACCGGGGCAGTTTCTGGAGACAACACTTTCGATTGTCACAACTGGGCGGGGGGCACCACAGCAGCTGACGTTGACCAGGGACACTGCCCCACACTCTGCAGTGCACAGTCAGCCCCACAATCCAGCCCGAAATGTCACATGTCAAGGTGGAGAGACCCTGGTCTACCCCAAACCCTGCCTGGCCACTGTCACCACCTTCACTCGGGTTTACCCGGTCTCCGGTACCATAGGTGGAGCATCCCTAAAGGGAGATTCGAAAGCCCAAATGCTCCAGAACCTGGAAATCTGTGGACCTACATGGCCTCAGTGGGGATCCAGCCCAGGGTTCCTGGAAAGTGGAGTCACAACACTGCGGAGCGAAGTGGTAGGCAGCTCTCTCCAGCCCTGGCCAAGGCCTGGGAGGCTGAAACTTCACTTAGGCTTGGGCCCCTCCCAGTACCTCACTATGTGCGGACAAATCTTCCAAAATCCAAAACGTTCTGAAATCTGGAACACGTCCGGTCCCACCCGTGCCAGGTAAGGGCCCGCCTTCAGCCACCGCGACGGCTCTCGTCCTCGGGCACCGTTCTCTTCTCCTTTACTTCCTTGGCATCGTGAGGAGACACGTGTGAGACAAACACGGCTTCGTGGAAATCCCGAGGTGAACCCCGTAAACCCACTACCAGGCCAAGAAAGAGACCTTGGCCTCGGGACCACAGCTTCCGCCGGCTGCAGTCAGGCCCTGCCTGCCTCCAGTGGCCACAGCCCAGCCCTCGGGCAGCCTCACCTGGGGTTGTTCGCCGCTGTCAGCGCCCCCTTACCCACCTCTAGCAATCGATGTAAGCCAGTCCTTTTAAACATGATTGAAGTGGCTTTAAAGTCAGGTGGAAACCTCAGGCACCCCTTTCTTCCTTTTTTTTTTTTAAGAGGTTTTCGCTGTAGGGCGCATGCGCTCGCCAGACAGACAGACAGAGACAGAGAGACAGAAAGCGAGAAATCACCCCCAGGGGGGATGGCCATGCCGCAATCCCTACTCCTCCATTCTCCTCTCGGGATCTTGGGCACGCACGCACACACGCCCGGCGTGAGTTTTAAGCCACCGGCTCCGGGACGCGAGCCACGGTCGACTACGTGGGAGTCCAGCGACATAGCCATTACGCTAACTGCTGGTTCCCTCAGCATATGGTTTTAAATCTTTCTGTTTTAGAAGCGTTTTCTGGGCCAGTGGGTAGTGCCTGGCTAGGGCAGTGGGATTCCACGAGGTTGACAGTGCAGCGCGACTCCCAGCCAGCAGCTGGGCCCACGTGCATGTGCTCCCAAAGCCCCAGCCCGACCATCCTCGGGGGCATTTCTCACTTTCTCTCTCTGTTTCCCCAGCAAGAGCGTGTTTGCTGGCAAATTTTAAAAAGGGAGAAAGAAGTTTTCTGAAGTTATGGTTGTTAGTATTACAGTCATTACTCAGTGTCCGAGGAGGACTGGACCCCGGACCCCAAGGACATCCCAGTCCCCGGATGCTCAAGTTCGTTACAGAAACGGCTTAGTACCTTACCCGCGCACCTCCACTATGCCCCACGCCTACTGTCACAGCCTCCCCAGCGCGCTTACAGCCCTGCACACGCTGCCACCTGTGTATTTGCTGTCGTCACGTGTGTGGCTTTTGTTTGCTCACTGTAGGGTATCCCCCTGAGGGATGGTCACACCACAATCCCCTCTCCTCCATTCTCCTCTCAAGATCTTTGGCATGCACAAACACCGGGCTGCTTTTCAAGCTGCCGGGTCCAGGACTCGAACTGCACTGTCAGCCCAAAGGGGTTTAGCGCCTTAGCAGCCACGGCACCCCAGTATTACTTTTCTGTTTTAAAACAATGTTTCCTGTGGAGGTTATTGAGCACGAGCCTGCTCTGCTTTGCTTCTACCTAATGCGGGAGCTCCCCGTTTCCTGAGCATACCCGTCGCCCTGCTCCAGAAGGCACCTGCCCTCAGGACAGACCAGCTGCAGCCCCGATGCGCAGGCAGGCACCAGCCCGCTCGTCCTCTGCAAATGCTTGAGTGTCCAGCCACTGTCCAAGCTCAGGGGCCTCCTCACCCCAGTCAATAACCACAGGGCAGCCCCCAGGCCTGCCCCATGCCCACAGGGGCTCATCTGCCCTTGGCGTGGCACCCGGGGACCCTCAGAAGAGCCCTATTGTCTCTTCCTGTCCCCTTCTTTGTCCTTGTTCACATGGTGCTGCGCTGAGCGGCCTGCATCCTCCTGGTGTGAGCCTCGTGGTTTCCCAGATCTCCGGCTGCTCAGACTCTCCCATCTGGCCACAGTGGGGCGAGTGTTCAGAGCTCTTCCTGGGAAGAGAGGACAGGGCACTTCTCAGAGGACAGAGGGCTGAATCTGGGCCACTTCAAACATCCAGGCCCTGGCACCAAGCCCACCCTGACAACCCCGGGACAGAGGGAGGGCAGACACTGGGGGTCCCTTGGGTGGCCGACCCCACCCGACCCCCAGGCACTCCACCGGGGGCAAGTGGAAGAAGACACTCACTCTCTAACAGGCTAAGAGCCAAGTGACTCGCCCAGTGGCCAGCAGGAAGGTGCTGGCCGGAGTCCAGGCCGGGATTCTCAGAGTCGGAGCAGGCTCGTCACCTGCTCCTCGCCAGCTGCGGAGGACTGAGCAGGCCCCCAGCCTTTGCTGGTCTGGTTGTGGCTAATGTGGTCCCTGGCTAACCCCCCAGGGCAGGCACCTGTCCGGGAAAGCCCAGGCCCTTGGCTGGAGCTGGCAGTGGGAGGTGGGGGGGACAAAGACACTCAGCTTTCAAGGGTGTCTGAGGAGAAGAATGCAGCGTCCCCAACCACCGGAGGAGGAGGAGCCTCTCAAACCGGTTCCCCAGGTCTGGCCTGGCCCTGGGCCCAGCTATGCACCCTCTTGGCCCAAGCCAGCTTTGATTTCCTGCTACAGTGGAGGAGGAATCTTGGGGCCCCTAAATTTGAATCCAGGCCTGCTGCCAAGGGCCACTGGTTGGCTCGCTAATGCTGACTGCACACCTGCTAGGGTCGGAGAGAGGTGCGGCAGAGCCTGGAGTCTGACCCCGAGTCAGGGGAGGCACGAAGAGCGCAGAGAGGCAGCGCCGGGCCCTCTAAGTGTTTGTTTATGAGGCAGAGAGGCTAGTCTCCCGCAGACGGGGACACTGAGGCACGAGGCAGGGTAGAAGCTGCCCAGGTCACACAGCCAGCGCACGGCCAAGCAGGCAGGGGGCCCAGGAAGCCTGACCCAGAGTCCATGGCAAACACATGAGATAAGGAGTGCGTTAGGTGCAACAAGTGGAGAGCAGAGAGTACCAGACAGAGACGAGGATGCACGTGTGCTCCCGTGCGTGTGTGCATGTGTGCACGCATGCATGGCTACACATACACGTGTGTGCACATGTGTGGGGGGGTATTTATGTTTACCTATGTGCAGGTGTGCGCGTGTGCACACGTACACAGGTGTGCATGAGTGTCTGGGGAGGCTGGCCGACGGCTTCTGGAGCACTGGTCCTGTGGGTGGCTCTGTCCCCCAGTGAGGAACTCCCCCTGGCCTTTGTGCCTGGGGTCCCTCCCAGCCTTTCCCTCTCTGCCCTCGGCAGTGCCAGCACCGGCTGGGGACCGGCCCGTGAGGCCCCATGCACACCTGGTAATCCTTTCGGCTCAGCTGGAGGGGCTAGTGGAGATCCTTGAGGACAAGACCAGCACAAGAAGCTTTTGCCGAGTGCCTGCCACTCCCTGAGCCTGGTGCCCTGGGGGTGTCTCACCGAGGCCTCCTGATCACCCAGGAAGTCCTCATCATGTTCACACACAGACAAGAAATCCCACATCCTCCACTGAGGAGGTCAGTGGCCAAAGTCCCTGAGACCCGGCTCCCTGCTCCAGAGGGGGCGCTCTGCCCAGGCACCTGACCTGGAGGCCCAGGCCATTCTGCTGTGGCCAGGCAGACGGGCCCACGATGGCCGGCCGCTCGCTCTCACTGGCTGGTTCTGGTATGCAGTCCCGAGTGCGGCGAAGCAACCACCCAGAGGCAGACGTCGGCTGCAGCATCCACAAGGTGTGGCCTGCAGCGCCGTGCTGAGAGAGCGGCCTGTGCAGGACTTCCGCTGCCTCTAACGCTGCCCTCCTCTCGCCCCAGCCTGGCCTGGCAGGCGCAGTCCTTCCCACCTCCTCCTGGCCTCCAGTGGCCACGGGGAGCCTTGGTCCTCTGGGCTGGCTGCCTTCCCCACCCTGCCAGGGCTGGGCACAGGCTGGAGGTGTGCGCCGTGGAGACAGGGGCAGGCAGGAGGGGCTGTGCTCTTCACACAGGCAGAGGTGAGGGCCCCAGGTGGGGAGCCAGGGCCAGGTGGGGGTGTCAGCCTTCACCTACCAGGGACCTGCCACAGACTCACCCCAGCAGCTGGATGTGGGTTGCGCCTGGATGGTTTCAACAGAGAAAGACGTGCAATGTGGAGACACCCCCCTTCACTCCTGGAGGCAGCGGGTGCTAAGACTGCCAGTGTAGACAGCCACACCATGGTGCACGCCGCACAGACTCGGAGGACGTGGGCCCTGAGCCCACCGTCTCTGCAGGTGCTTGTCTGTTCGTTTGGTTCAGGTCAAACCCAGGCCTAACACACAGCGGGTACTCGATAAGCATGCTCGTGCATGAGTAAGCGACAGGGTGAGGGAGTGAGGAGAGGGCCATGCCGTGTGCACGGTACGCAGACACGTGACAGGGTGTGAGGAGAGGGCCACGCCGCGCGTGCACAGGTACACGGATACTGTTATAGTCTACTCAGCGAGAAATAAGAGGACATCCAGCCAAATTTATTGGAGTTCATTGATTAAGCCGGCGGCACACGGGCAACTCATGTCTCCCAAAACCCCGCAGCCCCGAGTGAAAGGAGAAGGGATCTTACATAGGCAAAAATTCACAGTCTTCTCTGGGATGACGTGACGATTCACGAGGACCAGGTGCGGTGGGCTTGGAAGGGCAGGGTGTAGGCTCCTACATGTAAGGGCAAAAGTAAATTATAGAAGCAAAACAAGCAAGCTAATCATTCCTAGGGGTATGCTGCATCCCTACCTAAACACAAGGGAATCTTAATGGTCTTCGTGGCCCAGGGCAAGGCATCTGGTGACAATTACATCACTAAGGAAGGTCTAGGGTGGGGAGTCGGGTCACTTAGCACAGACAGGAGGCGTGTTAGTCACTCTGTTTACTCTAGGCAGGAGAAACCAAGTTTCCAATACAGAGAGGAGTTCAAAATGGAGGTGCTCCTGCTTCAGTGCTTCACTACGTGACTGGGTGTGAGGAAGGGGCCACGCCGCGTGCACGGGTACACGGACACCCAACTGGGTGTGAGGAAGGGGCTGCGCCGTGTGCACGGGTACACGGACACCAGGCTGGGTGTGAGGAAGGGGCCGCGCCGCGTGCACGGGTACACGGACACCAGGCTGGGTGTGAGGAAGGGGCCACACCGCGTGGACACCCGACTAGGTGTGAGGAGAGAGTTACACTGCCAGGTGACAGCAGGAGTGCAGATGGCTGGTCTTTCTTTCACATTTTAAATGTGTTTGCAGAGTCACCTGTAACTGCTAATATCAGCAAAAACTCAGGTGTTCAAACCGTGCCACCACACAGAGCAGCCACAGGACATGCAGGGGCTTTTGGCTGAGAGCAACCTTGTGACCCTCACAGTCACGGCCGCCCACGTGACCTCTTCACATGGCCAGATAAGGCTGTGGCCCAGGACACACAGCCGAGCGTGGGCGTGGGCCTTTTCCCCTGCCCTCATTTCCCCCGCAGTCACGGCTGTCACATTGCCGGGACGGCGACGATGTCTGGGAGGGACAACAGGGAGGTGTGGGGGAGCCAGTCACAGGGGCCCTCGGTCGTGGGGACGCAAGAGGCCCAGCGCCCGGCAGCTCGATTGCTTCCTGAAGCCTTGGTCTCCCAGTGAGACGGGGCAGCGTGCAGACCTCCTGCTGCTGTGAGAAATAGCTCTGCCAGCCTCAGGCCTGGCAGCCACTGGGTGCTCGCTGAGGCCCCATTTCCTTCCCCTTTCCTGCCCCGCTGCTCACAGAGTTAAGCAAGACCTCACTGGTGTTTGTTTACTGGCTGTGAGTCAGAGCCCACAGAGCCAGCCAGCCAGGGCGGGTTCCCACACCCCCAATGCCGGCCTGGGGTGAGGGAGGTGGGGTATCAGAGTGCCTGGACATCCTCCATCAAGAACAGGGCTCCTCCCCTCAACCCTGGTCGGCCCCGTCCCGACTCTTACCACTTAGTGGCAAGCAGCCACTCCTCCATAAAATGGACAGGGCACTGCTCACCTCTCGGGACTCAAGAGGGCTTGCTCTTCTGGTGGGTGGCCATGCCCAGATGGGCCGCTATGCTCAGTCCCACACTCCTGCATGGAGACCTCCACTCCTGTGTTCTCACCCCTCCCAGCCTCTGTCTAGTCCCAGTCCCCTCTTGAGCAGACCTAAGCTGTCCCTGAGCAAAGCCAGCCTCCACTCTATTCTCAAAACCCAAAACAAGGGTCCAGGTCACAGTCACACCTGTTCCATTTCTTCGCTGTTTGCAGCGAAAGGGTACGTATGGGCTAGATCCTAGGAGAGCCAGAGCGCTCAAAATGTTCAACACCTACCCTCTGAAAACGCCTGGCACAAATGACCAGGCTCTGATCTCTGTATAAGCAAGTCATCCTCATCTTACTGAAAGGGCTCTAAGGACAGACTGAGTTATCACATGAAAGCCCTAGTGTCTAGCTCCCAGGAGACTTCGAAAACATCTGTTGGAGAGATGGGTGATTGGATGGAAGGATGGATGAATGGATGGCTAGGGGCTGGATGGGTAGAAGAACAGATGGATGGATGGGTAGAGAGGGATGACGGGTAGAAGGGTGGATGGACAGGTGGATGGACGAATGATGGTTAGATGAACAGATCGGAGGGCTGAGAGGTGGCATGGTGGTTAAGGGAATGTGACTCCCACATGGCCGACTGCTGTTCAAGTCCCAGTCCTGGCAGCTTGCTCTCTCTCTCTCTCTCTCTCCCATCCCCCTTACTCTATCTCTCTCTGGTCAAATTTAAGTAAATAAATAAATAAAGTTAAATAAAAATAATTCTTTGTTTATGATCAGTTACTGAATTAGGTTCTTGGTAAAAAAAAAAATTCAGAACACAAATTTGTGAGGGTAAACTCCATTTTGTAAGGGCAAACCTGGATTGTAGGTAGCCCTGGAGCTGAGGAACAGCTTTGATTTTTGGTAAAATTTGCACAGCTTTCTGATCAACCTTGCGCTGCTCTGAAATCTCATATTTCTCCTTCTCTGTGTCGAAGATCCACCTTCCTGGTGTCTGGGCTTCCCCAGTTTCTGTTTCTTGAAGTAAGCATGGGTAAGGTGCTTGGAGATTTTTACTTTGCTAATATCAGTTTTCATGGAGGTGGCAATGACAAATTTCTGGTGTGTTCTACGCAGTGGAACTCGATTGGGAACCAGCGGTCCAGTTCCAAGTAGCAAACCGCTGCTCAGCTGCTTCAGGAAAACCACTCTCTTGCCTCTGTGGCGTCCAATGAGGATGATCAGATTGGTCCCGGGAGTGATGCTGGCTCGCAGCTTTCTCACACGCTGACTGAAGGTTTTTGCCGTGGCTCAACAGCTTTCGAGGCACATCTTCAGTAAGGTAATACCTAGGCATTTTGCGCAGTTTAACCACCCGGGTACCCCCATTCTTGTCTCCACCAACTGGTTTGTGACGGTCATGAGAACCTTCTCCTTTTTCTTTTCTATCCTGGATTTAGTGGCCGAGTATTTCCTCTTGTACACGGCCTTCCTGGAATACATGGCAGACTGGGGGTATCTGCCGATGCCCCGGACTAGGACCGGGTTTTGGCTGCAATGGGGCTTCCCCTTCTTGGGCTTTTTAGCCTTGGGGTCACCCTTTTTAACTTTTCACTGGCATCAGCCGTCTTGGCTTCAGGTTTCTTCTCCTTAGTATCCTGCTTCACAGCTTTTTCACCTGCCATCTTGTATAGTGGGAAAGATCTAAAAATAATTCTTAAAAAAAAAAAAAAGATGAATGGATGGGTAGACAGGTTGGTCGATGAATGATGGTTAGCTGGGTGGATGGACAGGAGGATGGATGAATGGTGGTTAGGTGAACAGGGGGGAGGGCTGACAGATGGCATGGTGGCTAAGGGTACTTGACTCCCATGTGGCCAACTCTTGTTTGAGTCCCAGACCTGGCAGCTTGCTTTTCCTCTCTCTCTCTCTCTCTCTCTGTCTGTCTCTCTTACTCTGCCCCTCTCTGGTCAAATTAAAATAAATAAGTAAATAAAGTTAAATTAAAATAATTCTTAAAATAAAAAAGATGAATGGATGGATGGGCAGGGGGGTGGATGACCCCTTGTCAGCGACTCCCAGGCTGGTGGCCCTGTTCTCACCCTCGCCCGAGCACCTCCAGCCTGGGACTCATTTCATTTCTCCCCCGGACACCCACAGGCGTGGTCTCACACACACGCGGTGTGCAGCAGTGCAGACCACACTCAGAGAGCCCCGTGTTTGGTTTGATGCTCTGCCATCGCCGTAATGAAATTATCAGGCATTTCGGTTAAACCTGAATTTCGCAATGGGCAATGGCAGGGAGGGGGCAGAGGAGCCTGTGGCATGCATGCCTCTGCTCCTGTACCCCGTTTCCAGTGTCCGGCATGCCCAGTGGGCACAGAACTCCATGGGCCACAGGGCCTGGAGGTCAGCGTGTGTGGACACCACCCCTTCTGTCAGGTAGTGGTTAGTGCACACCAAGGGACTCCTGGCCAGCACAGAGGTTCGTGCAGCCTTTCCGTGTTCTGGTATCATCCACACACACTTGGGTGTGCAAACCACACAATACAAACGTGTCATTTTGACACAGCATGAGAGCAAAATACTACACACTTACAATTGGCATCCCCCAGGGCTGGTAGGAGGTGTGGTGGGGCATTGGGCTCCTACATGGCTGACCGCAGTTTGGGTCCTAGACCCTGGCAGCTTGCTCTCACTTTCTCTCTCTCTCTCAACTTGAAAAAATAATGATGATAATATTTTTAAAGTTAAAAAAAAAAGAAAGAAAACCAGCATCACCCAGTATAGAGATGAACAAAAACAGGATGCCAATAATTTTATTGTTTCGTTTTTCTTTACTTAGAACATTAAACTGCCATGTGGTGGGCCAGCAGTTGGCATGGCAGTTGAGGTGGCTAGATCTCACATGGCCAACTGCCCAATTCAAGTCCCAGAACCGGTAGCTTGGAAAACACGCCAGCACATGGGCATGCAAGCCCCAAATCCCGAGGAGAAGGGAGAAGGGATTGCACCATGGCCGTCCTCCCTGGCGGTACTTTCTCACTCCCTCTCTGTCTCTGGGAAGCGCTCGTGTCCCAAGGCAAAACAAACAAGCATGAAGCACGGAAGTCCAAAGGAAGAAAGCCCCTGAGGCTGCGAGTGGAGAACCTACCGGGGCAGTGTCCAGCGGTGTAGCCAGGAGGAACAGACCAGGGCGAGCTCACTCATCCTCCCCTCACCCCTGCCGCAGGCGCTGCCCGCTCTGGCCTGCCCTGGACAGGACACTGAGGAGCTGCAGGTCCAGAAAGGAGGAAAGGGCCTTGTGGGAGCCGGCAGTGTGACAGCCAGTAACAGACACTGCGGACCGTGAATGGACGCAGGGGCGAACTGTCACTAGCTCGGACAGGGCACGGAACTCCCTGCGCCTGCCTGCCTGTGCGCCAGTTTCCGGACAGGGCACGGAACTCCCTGCGCCTGCCTGTGCGCCAGTTTCGGCGTGAGAAAACTCAGTGCATCGCTGCAGCTCCAGAAGTCCGGCTCTGGCCCTCGTCACTTCCCGGCCACAGCGGCCCTGCGCCCTTCCGTAAGGATGGCGTGTGCGCCCCCTAGAGGCCCCGGGGAGGAGCATGCCAGCTTCCCTCCGCGAACCAAGCTCCGTCGGCCCCTCGGCCCCTCTGGG